AATTTCACCATGTCGGTGAGGCTGGTCTTGAACTCCTGACCTCAGATGATCTGCCCGCCTCAGCCTCCGATTACAGGTGCGATTGACTAGGTTTTATTACAAGAGTTGTGTGAGCAGAATCAAAGACCCAAAGCCTTCTTAGTTCCGGAAACAGAGGTACAGGTTAAGACTTTTCTCATTTTAAGGAGGAAACTTTTTTTCCTCTAAATGTATCTCTGAGATAATGATGGAAGTCACTGGAAGTAAGATCTTGCTGGAAAAGGTGTGCTTTGCTCCAGCTTTTCAGAAATATCTCTAAAATATAAAGCAAGGTCGAATCAGGCCTACAAAGACATGGTGAGTCACCAGCAATCAGAATTGGGAGAACAAGCTGGGAACCACTCATACAACTGAATACCCTGGATAAAACATCTCTATCCTGAACCAGAAAATAAATGTCTACAGCTGCACTTGGCGGTTGGCCCTAGGGTCCATTCACCATATGGTCACCCTTATTATCATCCTCCCAACAAGTCCAGCAAGATAACAGGCGAGAACCACGCTCTTGCAACTAGCCTGCAGGCCGAGCAAACATCTCCTTATCATAACCTTGGTCTGTTCTTCCAAAGAGACTTCCTGCCCATCTCCTCTGTCCTTGCTTCTTGGTGTATATCTCATGCTCAACCTAGGGATGCCAAAAGCCCAATCCTCTGGTGCCCAATGCCTAGAATTAAGCTGCTTTTCAGAGGGGAACGGTGTGTATTAACAAAACAAAACAAAGAGGCCTCCTTCCTAGACCTTTATCTAAGGCAAGATCTAGCTGGTTTGGGATAAAACTTAGGGTTCTAGAGTAGGGAAGAACCTTAAAGATTATCAAATCTAGTCATTTTTCAAAGCTTATTTTATTTTATTTTACTTTATTTTTGAGATGGAGTTTTGCTGTGTCACCCAGGTTGGAGTACAATGGCACAATCTTGGCTCACCGCAACCTCCGCCTCCTGGGTTCAAGGGATTCTCCTGCCTCAGCCTCCTGAGTAGCTGGGATTACAGACATGTGCCACCATGCCTGGCTAATTTTGTATTTTTGTTAGAGACAGGGTTTCTCTATGTTGATCAGGCTGGTCTTGAACTCTCGACCTCAGGTGATCTGCCCGCCTCGGCCTCCCAAAGTGCTAGGATACAGGTGTGAGCCACTGTGCCCAGCCCATTTTTCAAAGCTTTTTAAACATTATGAGGGCTGGGCGCGATGGCTCACACCTGTAATCCCAGCACTTTGGGAGGCTGAGGCGGGTGGATCACTTGAGCTCAGGAATTCGAGACCAGCCTGGCCAACATGGTAAAGCCCCATCTCTACTAAAATACAAAAATTAGCCAGGCGTGGCAGCGCACGTCTGTAACCCCAGCTACTCAGGAGGCTGAGGCAGGAGAATCGCTTCAATCTGGGAGATGGAGGTTGCAGTGAGCCAAGATCATGCCACTGAATTCCAGCCTGGGCATAAGACAGAGTGAGACTCTGTCACAAATTAAAGAAACACTACAAGGTTGTATTTTTTCCAGCGAGGTTGTATGAGGAAACTCAGTAAATAGAAAACAGACATAAAACAAGCTGTTATGTCCATAGAGTGGAATAGGAATATGGCCATCAAAAGAAATGAAGTCATGATAAATGCTACCACAGAGGTGAATCTTGGAAACACTACAGTAAGTGCGAGAAGCTACTCACAAAGGAAGGCAAATTACATGATTCCATTTATAGAAAATGTCCAGCAGAAGCAACCACAGAGACGGAAAGTAGAGAAGTGCTTGCGTAGGGCTTGGGGAAATACGGGGATTGAGAGGTGACGGCTAAGAGGCGCAAGGTTTTGTCCGGATGCAGTGGCTCACACCTGTAATTCCAGCACTTTGGGAGGCCAAGGCGGGCGTATCACATTGTCAAGAGATCGAGACCATCCTGGCCACCATGGTGAAACCCCATCTCTACTAAAAATACAAAAATTAGCTGGGTGTGGTGGCGGGCGCCTGTAGTCCCAGCTACCCAGGAGGCTGAGGCAGGAGAACCGCTTAAACCCGGGAGGCGCAGGTTGCAGTGAGCAGAGATGGCGCCACTGCACTCCAGCCTGGTGACAGAGTGAGACTCCGTCAAAAAAAAAAAAAAAAAAGTGAGATGCAAGGTTTCTTTTTGGAGCAATGAAAATGTTCTAAAATCGACTGTGGCATGTGTTGCACAAATCTGTGCATCTAGCCTGGCCTGGCTGGCCTGGTGGAACCCCTACATGCTCCTCCTGGATAAGCCCGCCAATCACCTGGATATTGAGACCATCGATGCCCTGGCAGATGCCATCAATGAGTCTGAGGGTGGTATGAAGCCAGTCAGTTCTGACTTTGGACTCATTCACCAAGTGAGGTCCTGGCCGGGTGTGAGGCACAGCAGAGAGTGTCTAGGTGGTTGGGTGGAGCAGTCATGGCGTATGAAGGGGCGTAGTACTTGCTTACTGAATTAAGACAAGGGGCTCAGGGTGTAGACACAGGTGGCGAGGACCAGATCTTATGGCTCTACCTATGGGGCTACTTTGAAAGCCTTAACTGAAACACTTCATGTCTTCAGTAGCTACTTGGAGATGTTAACCAGCTTGGGATTACTGAGCCAAATGGGGCAGAGAGTTGGGTAGAAAACAGGGTGCTTTTGCTACTGGTCCCAAGATCCTTCAATCCAAAAACATGATTCTGCTAAGAAGGGTGTGGACTAGATAGGGGACTGCCACGGTCATCAGAGAATAAGCTGCAGGTCATTTCTCTGAAGCTTTGGAGAAGATGGAAGTTGGGTAAAAAAAAAAAAAAAAAAAAAAAAAGAGGCTAAGAGGGAAGCCTCTGAACAGATCTGGACAATGGGAACGTCCAGACCGAAGGACGTGACAATGGGAATGATACAGTAGCTCCAGCTCAGAAGGCTCCAAAGCCTGCGGGCTATGGTGTCCTTGGGACAGACCATCCCAAAGAACTTAGAGGCAAGGAGGCAGTCTGCAGACATCGGCGTGCGGGGTAGGGCAGGAAGATAATGCAGTTTTCTTCCTAGAAGCCCCTTCCATCAGTCTGCTGGGCAGGAATGGGGACAGTGACTGGCCCAGGATTAAGTCTAGGATTTGTTTTCCAGGTTGCACAGGAAATGCGGGTCTGTGGGAAGCAGAGACACTGACTGGCCTGGAGACATCCTGGCCAACAGGGAACACCTCAAGTCGAAGCTGGTACATGGGAATCCCCAGCTCACCAGAAAGACACACAACATGTGAGCCCTCTGGTCTTGGGTTAGGACCTCTGGCTGGAGACCAACAGCTGCTTCCCACTGACCAGTCTCTCGGACAACATAGAGAAGTGGTTGCCTAGGGCTTGCGGGGACAGGGGGATTGGGAGGTGATGGCTAAGAGACGTGAGAATCCTTTTTGGAGTGATGAAGGTGTTATTTTATTTTCCTTCAACTTTTATTTTAAGTTCCGGGGTCTGTGTGCGGGATGTGCAGGTTTGTTACATAGGTAAACGTGTGCTGTGGTGGTTTGCTGCACAGATCAACCCATCACCTTGGTATTAAGCCCAGCACCCATTAGCTATTCTTCCTGATGCTCTCCCTCCCCACCCCCAACAGGCCCCAGTGTGTGTTGTTCCCCACTATGTTCTCATCATTCAACTCCCACTTATAAGTGAGGAAAAGCACAGGTATCTTGGAACCTAAAATAATATACAATTTAGGCCAGGCGCGCTGGCTCACACCTGTAATCCCAGCACTTTGGGAGGCCGAGGTGAGATCAGGAGATCAAGACCATCCTGGCCAACATGGTGAAACTCCATCTCTACTAAAAACACAAAAATTAGTCAGTTGTAGTGGCAGGCACCTGTAGTCCC